CCCTGCTCAGCAGGGAGCCTGCTTCTCCCTCTGACCCTCACCCCTCTCATGTGCTCTCTCTCTCTCATTCTCTCTGTCTCAAATAAATAAATAAATAAAATCTTTAAAAAAAAAATAAAGAATTAATTTTTTAAAACAAAAATGTGTTTTTATTTTTTCTGTGCTCATAGACATAATACATTCTCATAAACAGGATGTAAAGATGAAAGTCATCTATGATCTCTACGCAGAAATTACCGCTATTGACAATTTAGAATATAAACTTCTAGGTTTTTTGTTCCATTATAATCTATTAGTTATTGTTTGCTTTATAAGAAACCATCCCCAAACTTAGTAGTTTGGAATACCAAGCATTTACTTATTTATTGTTTATTGTTATCAGCATTTATGTAGCTCATGATTCTTCAGGTTGACCATTTGTACTGGGTTCAGTTGGGGAGTTCTGGCGCAGTCCAGTCTCACATGACCTCACCATCAGCTGGTGGTTTGGCCTTGACCAGCACAGGTGGGACATCTGGGGCCTTTCTTCAGTGGCTTCTCCTTACTCCTGCAGATGACCCTGGGCTGGTTCACACAGCAGCCTCAGGTTTCAGGAGCAACAGAAAGGCAAAGGCCAACATACGAATATGTTTCAAGTTTTTGCTTCTATCATATCTGCTATTGTCCCACTGGTAAAAATCAAGTTAAGTGGCTAAGCATACCTAGAGTCAGCATGAGAGGGATTCTGGAAGAGAATGGAAACAGGGAGGCATGAACATTCAATTGGGACACACTGCAGTCAACCCACCACCACTAAATCTACCCAGTTGTAATATTTTAACAACATGAGATTCTAGTATCCATGCTGTATTAGGGTTGGCTGGAGAAACAGAACCAATAGGATGTATCTATATCTGTCTCTGTCTGTTTATAGAGTTAGCAAGAGATACATCAATATCGATAGATCATAGAATCAGAGGACTTGTCTCATGCATTACGGAGTTTGGCGGGTCTTGAGCTCTGTAGGATGAGTTGACAAGCTGGAGACTCAGGAGGGCTGATGGCTTAGTTCCAGTGTGAGTCTGAAGACCTGAGGACCAGGAGGGCCAGTGGGAGAGCTCAAAACCAGGGAGAGCTGATGTTTCAATTTGAGTCTGAAGGCAGGAAAAAAAGTCAATGTCTCCTTTTGAAGGCAGTCAGGTGGGAAGAATTTTCTCTTACCAGGGGTGGTTCAGCCTTTTTGTGCTATTCAGGGGTTTAGCTGACTGAATAGGCCCACCCATGTTAGGGAGGGTGATCAGCATTTTCTTAGGTCTGTTGTTTTAAATGTTATTCTCATCTAAAATAAAATAAAACCAAACAATGAAAAACACTCTCACAGACTCAGAAACATGAAAAATAAGGTTTGACCAAATATTTGGGCACCCCGTAGCCCAGTTGACACATAGAATTAACCATTACACATGGTGTTGTGAACCCTGGTTTGTTTGTTTTTATTTTTGTTTTTTTTTTTAGTTTATATGTCACGGACATTTTTTTCACGTCAGTAAATATAGATGAACATCATCATTTTTGATGGCTGCATAGCATATTATTGTTTGAGTCACATCATTTATTTCCATTTTCTTGATAAACACTTGGGTTATATCTTACATTTTACTACTCTGTTTGCATAATGAAGTTTGATTCATATTGCTAAATTGTCCCCTAAATAATTTGTACCATCTTACCAGCAAGTGTAGGACTGACTGTAATACCTTCGGCAACACTAAATGTTTATTCATTCGGCAGATATTTATTCAGCATCTACCATGTGCTAGACACTGCAAGGAGCGAGATATTCAGTAGTGAGCAGAGCAGCTAGGTCCCTGGCTTCAGGAGGTATCCATTCTATGGGGACAAACAGTAAACAAATAAAAACAGAGCTTGGTGAGGTAATCACAGCTTGTGACAGGTGAGTAAAGGGAGTAAATGATGTAATATAAGCATAAAGGGGTAGAGGTGGTTACCATAGAAAGGGCTATCTGTTTCATTATTGCCAACCTAATAGTTAGAAGAAGAGCTCACTTTAGTTTCGAGAGAGAAGGAAGGTATTTTGAAGGTGGGATTTGAATCGGATCCTGAAGTACCCAAAAGGGATTTGGGCTGGACATTTGGCATGAAGCATTCTGGAGGTTTTGCATGACCACAATTGTCAGGGTGGAAAAACTCAGGGGTCATTGGGGAGGGGAATGGGCTAATCAGTTTCTTAAACCAGTTTCCGAGAATTCAAGCGGGTGTGGTTTCCAGTGCACACTTAATGCCAAGCTGTCTCAATAGTCTGGTATTGTCATTCTAGGTAAAGGAAAAGCTGTGTAGGTTGAATTAACAGCACCTGATTGTACCACATCCTTCTTTTCTAGTTTAATAATGTGGTTTGATAATCTGAATTTGCATATTAATAAAACCACATTTTCTAGGTGGTAATTTTATTTCTTAGTTCAGCACTGAGCTCACAGTAGGCTCTCTCAAAGGGTAGTGATGGGTGTTCGGTCACCCCAGACATCAGGGCTACCTGGCTTAATGTCATGGTGTTTGTAATCACCCGATGTTTCATTTTTCAAAGAACTGTTTTTCAGAACACTGTTCCTGTAATTAAGCCACAGTACCACTAGGAGGCAGTATTGGGATGCACCCACTGGCTCCAATACCGTATGAATCATCATATGGTGAGTACAAGAAATTGTCAGTTCATGATGTTATAAAAGCTAATCTTACTTGTTAAATTTGAATTTAATATTAACCTGCCAAATGTGTAATTACCTTGGAGTGCCTTTGGAAAATAAATAAAGGTCTAAGCTGCAGTTTGGTGGCTATTTTTCTTATTATCAATGTGTTTTATAGAGATTATGATTAAAATGCTCTTTTGTGATTCACCATGAATATCTCATAATAAAAGTCCAATGAGTGCTCGTAGCAGACCTGCATTTCAGATCGCTAATGGCCTCAGGCTGGCCAAGGCTGGTGTCGACGTGGATGCTCAAGACACATCTGCTCATCTGCATTAACAAGTTTGGGTTTCCCAAGTAGCAAAGCCCAGAAGGAAAAATAAATCTGTAATACACTTTGCCTGTAAAGTCCTTAGAGATTTCCCAATTATAAGTTTTCTGAGTTTACCTCTTTATTTTATTTTGTTTTTAGAAAAGCTCATGACTCATTTCAGCTTCTGGTGTCCCTTGGTTATTTCTCTTCTTTAACTACAACCAAGCATAACCTGATTTGCATTGATGCTTGTTTACTTCTTCAATAAGCTATAGCAAAAGCTTAATATAGAAGCATAGGGTAGTCAGAAAGATTACTTTTAAAAACTGTTTTGTTCAGAGATTACTGTATCTCTTATGTAGAGCAGACCATTTGAACAAAATTAAAATATGGTTTTGAGAAAGAGGTTAAAACTGGATTTTATTATAATCATTTCAAAGAGTTAGTATCACCAACCAACCATCTTGAACTTCCAGTGTGTTCTGAGTAAGAAGCTGGTGATCAAAGAGAGTCTTGGTAGCAAGAAGAGGGTTTGTCACAACCATGAGAAGGATGAATCAGGGCCACCCCTACAGTGCCAGTGGGATGGGGCCAAGCGGAGCAAAGACAGAGGGTGCCCCTGGGGCTCCCTGGATGTGATTGAGCTGTTGTGTGACTCAGTTTCCCCCAGATATGCAGCTTTTACTCCTACAGACACAGGTTTACCTGGGCCACTGGCTGGGTCACTTTGGTCTTAGGTGGGAGACTGCGATCCCATGAGAGCTGATTTACAAAAATAGGTGGTGGGCCAGATTTGGTGCATGAGGCAGTTTGCCACCCCCAGATAAAGCATGAACCCCTCAGCCTGCTATGAAGGACTCTCTGTTGGTCCCACCCCCATACCCAGCTTTATCTTCTACTATGGCACGCAGGTCCTGCCCACTCCGCGTGTCTGCTCCTGATCCATCTCTACCCTTCTGTCTGTTTCCCCCGTCCCTGCTTGTCCACGCTGCAGCCTCCGTTCTGGATGAGCCATCCCAAACCTCCTTCAGCATAAAGAAGTAGAACAAAGCTCACATCACGCCATTTCCACTGCTCAGATGGGAGAATATCCTTTTGGTCCATTCTTCCGACTTCTGAGGTGCATACTTTCTCTTAATCAACAGAGCTGGACGCTGGTGATCCTGGGCGGGACCTGTGCTCAGAAGGGCTGAGCGGTGAGCAGGAGAGCCCCGGCTGGCGTCCCTCTATGTTCCCAGTCCTGGGGCTGCATGCATTACTGACCTGGTTCAAGAAACCATTCCAAAGACACCATTCCATGGAAAGGAAAATCAATGAGTAATTTCTTTCCCCTGTGTAGGTCCATGGGTGACAAGGACAGTACACACCCACCCACGACTGTGAGGGAGTGTGCCTGGAGTGCCCAGCTCTAAATGAAAATCAAGACAAATGGCAGAGGCAAAGAAGGCCAGAATGGATAGATGCTGATGTACGGGGAGCCATTTTTCACAGGCAGGTAATTTTGGTTCACCCGGGCACTTTGCGCCAGGGCGTGTGTGGGTGGGGCCATCATTCTATTTACAGACGGACAACATGGAGTATTTTTCAGGGCGGAGGGTGAGGCTCAAATCTCTTGAATCTGAATCTATCCCGCGGCCTCCTCATCTTTCCCAGTTTGGAGAGTCCTCTACCAAAATTGCAAGTAAGTGATGACATGCGAGTGCGGACGGAGGAGAATTCCTCCTGTGCTTTCGCAGCGGAGCTCACCGCAACTGTGATCTATCATTTCTTGCTTCTGGAGCATCGCCGCTGAAATGGAGCTGATTCAGCGCAGTCTGAATGAACAGTAGCAACGTCACGTTAAAGAAGCTTAGTGGTTTTGTGGCTGATATATGCTTATTTCTTTGGTGGTTGCTGAAATGAGTATTGTAGACAAAGCTCTGTATTCTGTTCTTTCCATGAGCGGGAAGTGCTTCAGTCCTAAAACGTTTCTTAACACTTTGGCTGGAGGTTATTCCAGATACAGCTGACCCTTGAACAGTGTGTGGGGGGAGGGGAATCGGGCACAGACAACACCCCCACCCCCTGCAGTGGAAAATCCGCATGTAACTTTTGACTCTCTCAAAACTTAGCTACTGATTGCCTACTGTTGACCAGAAGCTTTACCAATAACACGAACAGTCCAGTCGATTAACTCATATATTGTATGTTACATGTATTATATACTGTGTCCTTCCAATAAAATAAGCTAGAGAAAAGAAAATATTAAGAAAATCATAAGGAAGAGAAAATACATTTACAGCCCTGTTCTGTCGTTATCAGAAAAGATCCACTTCTCAGTGGACCTGGGCAGCTCAACCCCGTGTTGTTTCAGAGGGAACTGTAAATGCACCTTAGTGCCTCAAACATTTTTGACACTAGTAAACATTATTTTTTTAGGCAAGGTAGCAAACTTGTTTTCTTTCTGACTTGCCTTTCGCAGTAGGGGATGGAATGCAGAGATAGCAATATTGCCAATTATATCAAGATGATGAAGCAGCAGGAAGGTTCTAGAAGCAACCCTTAATCCATTAATAGGATTAATGGTCCCATTATGTCATCTAAGTTTTATTTTCCTCTGTGTGCTGAGAAGCATGAAATTATCATGTAAATAATGTCACATCTGTGCAAACAATTTGCAAGGTGCTCTGCAACTTCAAATTTAAGCTGTCACTTCTCTTTGTTAACTGTTGTAGTCCCTGAAGTTTTTTTTCGCCTCACATGAGAACTGTAAATTGATTTTTCATTTAACCCTCATGCCTATGTGTCAGGAATCTGTATGTTTTGAAGGATCTGGAGAGAGTGCCCGCCAACACCATTTGGAATTAACATTCTGTGAGCAAGGACAGCCAGCAAGAAAGAGGCTTGTATGAATATCCTTAGCATTTCCTAGCCAGCTTCATAATCCCTTTAAAGGTAATCTCATTTTTCCTTTTGCATTTGCCAAGTGGGTTTTTATGTCTTCATGCTTGTGTGATGAGGGTCCCTGTGGTCTTCTAGCTTCTGGGTTATTCTCTGTGAACTCCCCATTAGATAACTGCATGCAGAGGTTGGCAGTGATGGAAAGAAAGTGATCACTACAGAACCCTGGCCATCTGGATTCCACAAGCAGCCTCTTAATTCTCGTGCTTACATCCAGATCTTGCATGCCGGATGTTACAAATTAATGGCATTCATTTTCAGAGAAATGCAGTTTCTGGTATTGTGTGTTTTGGTGTGGGCATTTCTAGAGTACTCACCACACACACACACACACACACACACACACAGACACACACACACACACCTTCACTGGGAACTTCTATTAATTAGTAATGCAAACCCAAACTATTCCCAAGAGAACGGAGTACATTCCAAGCCTCCTAGACATTTCAAGCACACATTTTACATCATTTCATTAAATTCAGACCTACCCACTCAGGGATGTGGTTTTGTTAGCTGGATGGTTATTTCTAAGGTACCTTTTGTTCTGCATTCAAATCGTCTTAAATAAGTGTGCTATTTATGGTTTTGCGCAGTAGAATCATCAGTCTTGCTACAATGCCATTCCATCGGGCACTTGTATTCAGCACCAAACTAATTGCAAATCAAGTTTTAGCATCTCAAGGATGTGAGGGTTGGGAAATATTTTCTCCTGTCACTTGGGTTCAGGCAGAACAACAAGATAATTTCTAGCCCTCTGCTCCATGCTGCATTATTAAAGAGGTTATTGTCAGGAGAGGCTTTTTAGAGTGTGAATGGCGTGTGTGTGTGTGTGTGTGTGTGTGTGTGTGTGTGTGGTGTGGGGGAGGAGGTGCAAAAGGACACAGCAGACTCAGAGACAAAGGCTGACCACTGCCTAAAGTTGCTAAGATCGGCAACTTCCTATCTCAACGTCTACGTCTCATGAAGATGTGACGGGTATTCTGCTTCCATAAATGCTGGGTGTTTGGATATTTGCTTAGCCTCCTTCAGCATGATTTAAAACTCATGGAAATGATCAGACTGCTTACTGGATCTTCAAGGGCAGTGTTTTCCAGGTGACCGTAGCAGCCAATTTGATAAAATGGAGTGTGTTAAACATATATTTTACATCGTGGGTAATGAGACCTGCCCAGATAACCAATTTCATGCCTTTCGCTCAGGCTGACCGGAACAAAGAGCTTGTCAGGGCCGTTCTGGGGGGTGAGCTGGCCGTGACTTCCCACTCGGGGCTTTTCTTCCCCTCTACGGGCCCCTCTGGGAGGAACCCTGCCGCCCAGGGAACGTTTACTGAAGACCCACTGTAGAAGGCTACCGTAGCTTCCAGCAAAAGCAGGCTTCTTGGAATGACCGACGTTACTGATACATCCCAGATTGCCCTGGTGTTGACACAACCATCCAAGCGCGGAGTGATCTCAAAGACCACCGTAACGGATTGAGTTTGTTTTTAGGACAGGTTGTCAGGAAAATGAAGGACTGTGGTTTCATGTCATTTTCCATCATCTCTGAATCATTTACAAATGTGCTCCAGGCAGGAGTCTTGGGATCTATATGGAAAACGACAATTGCACGCTTAAGGCACGTGACCGCCCCGCAGCGCCCCGGTCCTCAGGGACAAGGCATTTGCTTAGCGGGGTGTCACTGAGGGAGGATGGGCTTTGGAAGGAGCGGCTCTCAGAGGAATGTCTCACCTGTGACAAGGTCTCAAAGAGAAATTAGTGCCTGTTTCCTCTTCCTTAATCTCTCAGTAGTCAGTCTTTCATTCTCTGATTACTGTTTCACGAACAGTAGTGAGTTATCAGGACATAAGAACACTGTTTCCTGGGAACCCCCCAGAGAATTTTTTTAATGTAATATCATAGCTCCTCTAATATAGCCTCTGGAAACAGCACAGTATGTGCATTTAGGCGTAGAGTTTGTTTATCATTATTTTATTCTAGCAGCGTTGACTGAACGTGTACTATGTACCAGGTTTTCTTTGAGGTACTGAGATCAGAGCCATGCACACGGGAGAGTCACGTCCTGCCCTCCTTCTGCTAACATTCTAGAGGGGAGAGAGACAATGAAGAAACAAAACGTGAACAACAGAATCCCCCTTAGCCTAGACACCAGTAAGCAAAGCAAAGGAGGAGTAGCTGAGAGCGAGGTGGCCAGGGACGGGCTCCCTACCACAGAGAGATGGGAGCGCTCCTGAGTGTCCTGAGGGAGAAGCATGGCCAAGTGTAGAGAGGACTCCCCGGAGCCCCGCGGAGGTGCGTGCTTGGCTTCTGAGCTGGTCATTCTTCTGAAATCACAATCTGGAGTAAATGGATCTGCCTCTCCTTTGTCAGCTCTCAGGTGGCCTTTGGAGAAATACCCTCAAAGTTTCAAAACTTGACTTCAGGGTGCTCCTTGTCCTGCTCGTACACCAGGTTGGAAAGGTCTTGGGAGAAATTTTTTCTTAGTTTCTTTTGAAATTAAAGAAGGCCAAAAGAAAAAAATCACATCTTGTCGGATGATCCTGGTCTGTAGTCCTAGAGGTGACTTGTGCTGGCAGGGTGGGCGGGGAAAAGTCTTGGACCTTCCCGGGTCACTCTTCTTAAATGGGGGAGTTGGTTGAGAGGCATTTTTGGTCCCCAGGAATAGTGTGCATCTCCCCATGGAAGCCTGTGTGCATCTCCCCATGGGAGTCTGTGTGCCTCTCCCCATGGGAGCCTGTGTGCATCTTCCCATGGGAGCCCGTGTGCATCTTCCCATGGGAGCCCGTGTGCATCTTCCCATGGGAGCCCGTGTGCATCTTCCCATGGGAGCCCGTGTGCATCTCCCCATGGGAGCCTGTGTGCATCTCCCCATGGGAGCCCGTGTGCATCTCCCCATGGGAGCCCGTGTGCATCTTCCCATGGGAGCCCGTGTGCATCTCCCCATGGGAGCCCGTGTGCATCTTCCCATGGGAGCCTGTGTGCATCTGTTCATATGAGCCCCTGTGCATCTCTCTCCATGAGTCCCCGGGTGCTGTCTCTGTGTGAACCATGTGCAATTTTCCACGTGTGCCTGAATACATGGTTTCTTTGCCATCTTGTGTGCACTCTCCATGTAAGCTTCTGTACATTCTCCTGAATCTCACGTGCACTGCTATTTCTATGTATGCTCATGGTTCCTCTCTCCATTTAAGCCCATGTGTCCCCTCCTTTTATGAGATTATGGTATTTTCCTCCTGCAGGCCTGTGCATGTTCTTATCTTGCAAATCTTGGAAGTCTGTAATTGTGATTGTCGGGTCCTCAAGGCCTGCAGAGAGCCCGAGGTGTGCACTGCCTTTAACAATGGTCGTCCTCTAGGATTTTCATCCGAGTAAGATAGCCCAAGGCCTGGAGACCAGGGATTGACTCTGGGCATCATCCATGGACAGGGCATGCCTGGGCCCTCTCCTGGGTCCTCAATAGTGTGTGGCAGCCAGATGAATTCTCACTAGCTCCTCTTGGAAATGGTGGCATTAGTGTTTGTCCAGGCCCTACTGCGGGGTCCTGCCCAGCTCCGCAAGGCTATGTAACCATTAAAACTCCAGGAGAGGGAGCCTGCTTCCGAAGGGGAGGTTAGTCCTGTGATCATCTGCAGACCCCCTGCCTTGGCACATAGTGGCATTTACTAAATTTTGCTATTGAGAGTTGCCCTGAGTTTGCTGCATCACACATAGCTCCAAGGTGTTCTTCCCTGGATAAAGGTATCTGGTCAACATTTAGAGGTGATGGAGGGTTAGTTATGCCCCCCAAACTTCCCTACTTAGTTTGTAGTGGAAGCAAGTCTCACACTAGACCTGTCACCTACAGAAACCAGTCAAGAACAGTTCACAAAGTGTCTAGTGTGAGCCTGATAAAGTCTCTGCTCTCTATCCTTCCAGCTGATTCTTGCACATCTTGCAGGAAAGGCTCAGTGACACCTATGTGATGGTTTTCCTGTGACAGACCACTGCCATCCTCCTAGGCTTCAGGCCCCCAGAGCCCTCTGACTCAGCTGCTGCAAATGGGACCTTTTACGGGTAAGCCTTGGTGCTGCCTCTGTGGGGGGTGGGGGGTGGGGGGGCTCAGACTTAGAATATACTCTAAACTCAAAAGCATTTTGCAGATGTGAGAGATAATTAGGAATCTGTCTCCCTTTACATATACACAGATGTTAACATTTTAGTGACTCAAAAGAAGTCCCATTTTCTCACTGACAACTTTCTTTTAAAAAAGATAGGTCCTCTAAGTTGCAAAATATGCTTTCCCCTTGCCCTGTTGCCCTCCCTGGAGACTCTGTAAAGTTATTTCCGTCTTGACTGAAATGTGTTATGATTGAAAATGTTACTCATCCTAACCTGAGGGGGAAGCAAGTTCCATTTTTGGACCTTATCTAGAGGGAGGTGGATGGCGGGCTGCTGTGGGAAGGATGATTGAGAAGAATATAGGTTAGAAACTGTGGTCATGGAAGGGGGATGTGGTGGAGCCGGTTAGCATGCTCTGGGGAAGTAGAGGCACGTTTGGCTGGAGGTCCTGAACTTAACGCGATGCCCATCTACCTTTCCCCTGTGGTGCTCTCCCCTGAAAGATGGTGGCTGCTCAGAGCTTGCATGGTGGACGAGGAGGCACAGCTTACATTGAAGAGACAAATGGGGGGCGCCTGGGTGGCTCAGTTGGTTAAGCGTCTGTCTTCAGCTCAGGTCATGATCTCAGGGTCCTGGGATCGAAACCCGCATCAGGCTCCCTGCTCAGCGGGGAGTCTGCTTCTCCCTCTGCCTGCAGCTCCCCCTGCTTGTGCTTGCTCTCTCTCTCTCTCTCAAATAAATAAAATATTAAAAAGAAAGAGAGACAAATGGCCCCCAGGTAGAGATAGCAGTAAAGATCTGAGAATTCGCAGGAGAGCCTGCCCAGCACCTCACCTCGGTGCTGCCAGGCCAGGGCAGGACTTAGGTGACTCTTATTCTTAAACACTGACTCTCATCTCTTCCCCGGAAGTGGTTTCTGAGCCTGGGCCCTGCCCAGACCCCAGGGTGGTATTGCGGGCAGTGGTGCCCAGTTCCTGGTCTCTCACGGAGTGAGAGCCAACACCTAGTGGGAATCTGGGCAGCCTCTCGAAGCTCAAAAGGCCTCTCAAAGAGGCAAGAAGACCAGAAAGAAGGGGACCCTGCCATCACCTTGATTTTAGCCCAGTGTGGTTCGGATAGAACTACAAGAAAATGAATTTGTGTTGTCTTAAGCCACCATGTTTGTGGCAATTTGTTACAGCAGCAATAGGAATAAGAATAGACACCAACATAAGAATTGAAGACACACACGGAGGAGTGGTGATTCGCCCCGGCTGAGGGTGGAAGGAGCAGAGCAGAGCCTGGTCTGCGGGTGCCGAGGGCCAAGGAGCACATACCTGCCTAGAGGCAGTGCCCCTGGGGAGCTGGCCAGGCCCTAGACGGGGAGGGGCTGCAAGGTGGGGTCTGGGTAGCTGGGACCCCGAGCTACCCAGGTTCACAAGTCAGAGACCCAAGACCACAAGGGTGTCTCAGCCACGCCTTGTACTTGAAGAGTCCTGTGCTAGACTCAGGGCCTCTTCTTCAGCCCCACTTGGTGGTATCCCCTTCATCTCGTGGTCCAAAACAAATCTAGACACCATTCTCACTGCGGTCCCCTCCCCACATCCCCATGCCTAATCCATCCAAATATATTAATCCCGTCTGACTCTGACCTTCCTCTTCGAGTTCATCTACTATTGTCCTCCCAGCCACTTCCGTTTGTCACAAAGGCCAAATTGCTGTTCACCTTAGGGCTTCTATTTTCCTTATTCTGGGCGCTTCTTCCCCTTGGCTTGCTCCTGCTTGTTTCTTGGGCTTAAGCTCAAATGTCACTCTGTAGGGGGAGCTTCCCTGACCACAGGACCCTTGCAAACCCTAGTTTGTTCACCTTTATCTGAAATCGTCTTGTTGAGTTTTGTGCTTAGTGTCGTTCTTTCTTGAGAATGGGTAAGGCCATGACTGTCCTGTTCACTGCTGAGTCCTCCATGACTAGAGTCGTGGCATATGGCATGTGCTTTACATCGTAAGCATTCCAGAATCTTTGTCGTACTCCATCTGCAGCCCCATCACCCTGCCTCTCACATGGATTGGCAGTGGGAGAGATGCTTTGTAAAGTAACAGACTTCACATTGTGTTTGGTCTTGAATCTGCCAGAGTCCTTCTTTTTCAAGCTGGCCTGTAAGGAGAAAGGGAGGTCCCAGAGAGTCTGGGGCTTTCCAAGTACTAGAAGAGCCAGCGTGACTTACACAGTGTGGGACAAGTTAGTTTGTAAATTCAGGAAACAAATTCCATATCCTAGAACAAACATATTCTATAGATTTAATGAACAATGTACTATTTCACATGCTTTCAAATCGAAGATTGCATTCCTGGGAAGTTGAGTAAGAAATATGTAGTTTGGGATTGAATTATTTTGGGAAGCTTCTTACTTCCTCTTACTAAAATCACAAGAGACAGATCCAACGTAGACTTAGATTTAAGTGAACTTTCTCCCTGCCCCCTTACATGATTCCTTCTTCCCTGTGCCCCAGTGATGTGGAATGCAATATTTCCTATCAACTACTACTACTGCCTACTATTACTACTGCTTCCTATTACTACCACTTCTGCCCACTAGTATTACTACTACTTCTGCCTACTATTACTACTGCTTACTATTACAACTACTGCCGCCCACTGTTACTACTACTATTGCCCACTGTTACTACCAATGTCTACTATTACTACTATTATTACTACCACTTCTGCCCACTATTACAACTGCTGCCCACTGTTACTACTACTATTACTACTACTACTGCCTACTATTACTACTATCGCCTACTACAGCTACTACCACTGAAATGACTATTACTACTACGACTACTGCTGCTACTGCTACAACTACAATCACCACTACAACTACTTCTATAATTACCACCATTGCTACAATTAATACTACTGCTATAATTGCTACTATTACTGCTGCTACCATTACTATCATGATGATGGCTACAACTACTATTACTACTAAAATTACTGCTACTACTATTACTACTACCACTGCTACGGTTATTACTACTACTATACCAATTACTATACTACTGTACTTGCAACTCAATTGCTGCTCTGTTACAATTACAATGATGATGATTACAAGTACTGCTATTACTAAAATTACTATTATTACTACAATTACAACTACTACAACAGTTACTGTCACCACTAGTATGACTACTATTACAATTATACCACTACCACTGTTAACAATTACTCTTCCTCCTCCTCTCTACTCCTTGTGATGATCCACGTGGTTCTTCCATAGTTCACAGGCTTCTTCCCTTCCACAGTGCCCCTTCATTTCTTTTTCTTTTTTTAAGATTTTATTTATTTATTTGAGAGACAGAGAGAGAGCAGGGGAGGGGCAGAGGGAGAGGGAGAGAGAGAGAGAATCCCAAGCAGACTGTGTACTGAGCATGGAGCCTAACACGGGGCTCGATGTCATGACCCTGAGATCATGACCTGAGCTGAAATCGAGTCCAACGCTTAACCCAGGTGCCCCCCACCAACTTCATTTCTTTTGTGGGGAGAGTATCTTTCTTTTCTGGTATCTGTCTTAAACTTTTAGTTTTAGAATAATTATGGGTTCACAGAAAGTTGATAAAAAATGTACAGGGAGGTTCCATGTACCCTTCACCCAGTTTCCCCTAATGGTAACATCCCACATTACTCTAGTATGGTATCAAAACCAGGAAATCAAAATTGGGGTTTCTTTTAATTTTAATAAAGGCCAAATCAGTCTTTCTTCCTGCCCCCCTACCCCATATATATATATCACTAATGGAAACTAAAAGATCAATACGTTTGAAGTCTGGAATCTTTGGGCTGAACTATCATTTCTTTGTTCTTTGTGTTTTGTTTGTTTTTGGTTGT